GGTTGATTTATACGTGGATAGCCACCTGGCTAGATACGCGGATTGATACGTGGATTGATATGTGATTAGATGGGTGGATAGATACGTGGAGAACCCTGGATAGTTACAGGGATTGATTATCGGATTGATGGGTGAATTGATCCGTGGATAGATACGTGGATAGATTCCTGGATGGTTACGTGGATTGATGCACGGATTGATACGTGGATTGATATGTGGATAGATACGTTGATAGATACGCGGATTGATGCTTTGATAGATACGTGGTTGGATACGTGGATAGATGCGTGGATAGATTCCTGGATGGTTACGTGGATTGATGCACGGATTGATACGTGGATTGATATGTGGATAGATACGTTGATAGATACGCGGATTGATGCTTTGATAGATACGTGGTTGGATACGTGGATAGATACGTGGATAGATTCCTGGATGGTTACGTGGATTGATGCACGGATTGATACGTGGATTGATATGTGAATAGGTACGTGGATAGATACGTGGAGAGTATCGCAGATAGATACGTGGATTGATGCGAGGATAGATACGTGGAATAATACTTGTTAAGTTAGGTCGATATACGTGGATAGATACGTGGTTGGATATATGGAAAAATCTGTGGCTGGATACGTCGATAGATACGTGGAGAAAACCCTGAACAGTTTCGTGGACTGATGCCCGGATTGATAGGTGGATTGATGCGTGGATAGATACGTGGTTGGATACGTGGATAGATACGTGGATAGAATCCTGTATAGTTACGTGGAATGATGCCCGGAATTATACGTGGATTGATATTTGGAGAGATACGTGGATACATACGTGGAGTGGACCGCGGATAGATACCTGGATAGATACGTGAATTGATACGTGGATTGATATGTGGATAGATACGCAGATGGATACGCGGATTGATGCGTGGATTGCTAGGTCGATAGATACGTGGTTGGTTAGATGGATAGATATGTGGTTGGATACCTGGATAAATACGTGGAGATAACCGTGGATAGATACGTGGATTGATACGTGGTTGAATGCGTGGATATATACGTGGATATAACCGTGGATAGATATGTGGATTGATCCGTGGATTTATACGTGGTTTGAAATGTGAATAGATACGTGGATATTTTCAGGGATAGATACGTAAATAGATACGTGGATTGATGAGTGGATTGATACGTTGAAAGATACGCGGTTAGAAACGTGGATTGCTACCTGGATTGAAAAGTGAATAGATACGTGGATAGATTCGGGGATAGATACGTTGATATATACGTGGATGGATGCGTGGATATATACGTGTATTGATATGTGGATAGATACGTCTTTGGATAGGTGGATTGATAGGTGGCTGGATACCTCTATAGATAGGTGGATATACACGTGGTGGGATACGTGGATGGATACGTGGAGAGAACCCTGCATAGTTACGTGGATAGATGCCCGGATTGATAGGTTGATTTATACGTGGATAGCCACCTGGCTAGATACGCGGATTGATACGTGGATTGATATGTGATTAGATACGTGGATAGATACGCGGATTGATGCGTGCATAAATACGTGGATAGATACGTGGTTAGATACGTGGATTGTTACGTGGATTGATATGTGGATAGATACGTTGATAGATACGCGGATTGATGCGTGGATTGCTAGGTCGATAGATACGTGGTTGGTTAGATGGATAGATATGTGGTTGGATACCCTGATAAATACGAGGAGAGAACCGTGGATAGATACGTGGATTGATACGTGGTTGAATGCGTGGATATATACGTGGATATAACCGTGGATAGATATGTGGATTGATCCGTGGATTTATACGTGGTTTGAAATGTGAATAGATACGTGGATATTTTCAGGGATAGATACGTAAATAGATACGTGGATTGATGAGTGGATTGATACGTTGAAAGATACGCGGTTAGAAACGTGGATTGCTACCTGGATTGAAAAGTGAATAGATACGTGGATAGATTCGGGGATAGATACGTTGATATATACGTGGATGGATGCGTGGATATATACGTGTATTGATATGTGGATAGATACGTCTTTGGATAGGTGGATTGATACGTGGCTGCATACCTGAATAGATACGTGGATATATACGTGGTGGGATACGTGGAGAGAACCCTGCATAGTTGCGTGGATAGATGCCCGGATTGATAGGTTGATTTATACGTGGATAGCCACCTGGCTAGATACGCGGATTGATACGTGGATTGATATTTGGAGAGATACGTGGATAGATACGCGGATTGATGCGTGCATAAATACGTGGATAGATACGTGGTTAGATACGTGGATTGATACGTGGATTGATATGTGGATAGATACGTTGATAGATACGCGGATTGATGCGTGGATTGCTAGGTCGATAGATACGTGGTTGGTTAGATGGATAGATATGTGGTTGGATACCTGGATAAATACGAGGAGAGAACCGTGGATAGATACGTGGATTGATACGTGGTTGAATGCGTGGATATATACGTGGATATAACCGTGGATAGATATGTGGATTGATGCGTGGATTTATACGTGGTTTGAAATGTGAATAGATACGTGGATAGATTCGAGGATAGATACGTTGATATATACGTGGATGGATGCGTGGATATATACGTGTATTGATATGTGGATAAATACATCTTTGGATAGGTGGATTGATACGTGGCTGGATACCTGTATAGATACGTGGATATATACGTGGTTGGATACGTGGATAGATACGTGGAGAGAACCCTGCATAGTTACGTGGATTGATGCCGGATTGATAGGTGGATTCATACGTGGATAGATACGCGGGTTGATGCGTCGATTGATACCTGGTTGGATACGTGGATAGATTCCTGGATGGTTACGTGGATTGATGCACGGATTGATACGTGGATTGATATGTGGACAGATTCGTGTATTGATACGTGTATAGGTACGTGGATAGATACGTGGATTGATGCGAGGATTATTATGTGGAATAATACTTGTTAAGTTAGGTCGATATACGTGGATATATACGTGGTTGGATATGTGGAATAATCTTTGGCTGTATACGTCGATAGATACGTGGAGAGAACCCTGAACAGTTTCGTGGATTGATGCCCGGATTGATTGGTGGATTGATCCGTGTATAGGTACGTGGATAGATACGTGGAGAGTACCGCGGATATATACGTGGAATAATACTTGTTAAGTTAGGTAGATATACGTGGATAGATACGTGGTTGGATATATGGAAAAATCTGTGGCTGGATACGTCGATAGATACGTGGAGAAAACCCTGAACAGTTTCTTGGATTGATGCCCGGATTGATAGGTGGATTGATGCGTGGATAGATACGTGGATAGAATCCTGTATAGTTACGTGGAATGATGCCCGGATTTATACGTGGATTGATATTTGGAGAGATACGTGGATACATACGTGGAGAGGACCGCGGATAGATACCTAGATAGATACGTGAATTGATACGTGGATTGATATGTGGATTGATGCTTTGATAGATACGTGGTTGGATACGTGGATAGATACGTGGATAGATTCCTGGATGGTTAAGTGGATTGATGCACGGATTGATACGTGGATTGATATGTGGACAGATTCGTGGATTGATACGTGTATAGGTACGTGGATAGATACGTGGAGAGTACCGCGGATAGATACGTGGAATAATACTTGTTAAGTTAGGTGGATATATACGTGGTTGGATATGTGGAAAAATCTGTGGGTGGATACGTCGATAGATACGTGGAGAGAACCCTGAACAGTTTCGTGGATTGATGCTCGGATTTATACGTGGATTGTTATGTGGAGATATACGTGGATAGACACGTGGTTGGACACGTTGTTAGATATGTGGATACATACGTGGTTAGATAAGTGGTTGGATATGTGGAAGTATGTGTCGTTGGATACGTGAATAGATAAGTGGATAGATATGGCGATAGATCCTTTAATATATTCCGTGGATGGATGCGTGGATGTTTACGTGGATTGATATATGGATAGATACGTGGATAGATACGCGGATTTATTCGTGGATAGAAAGGTGGTTGGATACGTGTAGTGAACCATGAATAGATACGTGGATTGATGCGTGGTTGGACACGTGGATAGATACGTGGATAGATATGTGGTTTGATATGTGGAAGAATGTGTGGATGGATACGTGAATAGATACGTGGATAGATACGGGGATACATACTTTGATATATTCCGTGGATGGATGCGTGGATGTATACGTGGATTGATATGTGGATAGATACGTTGATAGATACGCGGATTGATGCGTGGATAAATTCGTGGTTGGATACGTGGACAGATACGTGGCGAGAACCCTGGATAGTTACGTGGATTGATTCCCGGATTAATGGGTGGATTGATATGCAGATACATACGTGGATACATACGTGGATTAATATGTGGATAGATACGTGGATAGATATGTGGTTGGATATGTGGAATAATGTGTCGATGGATACGTGAATAGATACGTGGATAGATACGGGGATACATACTTTGATATATTCCGTGGATGGATGCGTGGATGTATTCGTGTATTGATATGTGGATGGATACGTTGATAGATACGCGGATTGATTCGTGGATAGAAACGTGTTTGCATACGTGGATAGATACGTGGAGAGAACCCTGTATAGTTAGGTGGATTGATGCCCGGATTGATAGGTGGATGGATGCGTGGGTGGATTCCTGGATATATACGTGGATTGATACATGGTTGGATACCTGGATAGATACGTGGATTGAAACGTGGCTGGATGCCTGGATAGATACGTAGATAGATACCTCGTTGCAAATGTGGATAGATACTTGTAGAGAACCGTGGATAGATACGTGGATTGATGCGTGGTTGAATACGTGGATATATACGTGGATATAACCGTGGATAGATACGTGGATTGATGCGCGGATTGACACGTGTTTTGAAATGTGAATAGATACGTGGATATTTTCAGGGATAGATACGTTAATATATACGTGGATGGACGAGTGGATTTATACGTGTAGAGATACGTGGATAGACACGTGGATTGTTACGTGGATTGAAAAGTGAATCGATGCGTGTATAGTTTCGGGGATAGATACGTTTATATATACGTGGATGGATGCGTGGATATATACGTGGATTGATATGTGGATATAAGCGTGGATAGATACGTGGATTGATGCGTGGATTCCTACGTCGATAGATACGTGTTTGGATTCGTGGATATATACGTGGATATAAGCGTGGATAGATACGTTGATTGAAGTTTGGATTGATACGCGGATGTATACGTGTATGGATACCTGGATTGATGCGTGGATTTATACGTGGATCGATAGTTGGATAGATACGTGGATTCATACGTTGATTGATATGTGGATAGTTACGTGGATATATACGTGGATAGATACGTGGTTGGATACGTGGATAGATACGCGGAGGGAATCGTGGATAGATACGTCGATAGATAAATGGATTGATATATGAATATAACCGTGGTGAATTACCTGGGTAGATACGTGAATATATATGTTTATAGATGGATAGATGTTTAGATAGATGTTTAGATAGATAGATAGATAGATAGATAGATAGATAGATAGATAGATAGATAGATAGATAGATAGATAGATAGATAGATAGATAGATAGATAGATAGATAGATAGATAGATAGATAGATAGATAGATAGATAGATAGATAGATAGATGGATAGATAGATAGATAGATAGGTAGATAGATAGATAGATAGATAGATAGATAGATAGATAGATAGATAGATAGATAGATAAATAGATAGATAGATAGATAGATAGATAGATAGATAGATAGATAGATAGATAGATAGATAGATAGATAGATAGATAGATAGATAGATAGATAGATAGATAGATAGATAGATAGATAGATAGATAGATAGATAGATAGATAGATAGATAGATAGATAGATAGATAGATAGATAGATAGATAGATAGATAGATAGATAGATAGATAGGATAGGATAGATAGATAGATAGATAGATAGATAGATAGATAGATAGATAGATAGATAGATAGATAGATAGATAGATAGATAGATAGATAGATAGATAGATAGATAGATAGATAGATAGATAGATAGATAGATAGATAGATAGATAGATAGATAGATAGATAGATAGATAGATAGATAGATAGATAAATAGATAGATAGATAGATAGATAGATAGATAGATAGATAGATAGATAGATAGATAGATAGATAGATAGATAGATAGATAGATAGATAGATAGATAGATAGATAGATAGATAGATAGATAGATAGATAGATAGATAGATAGATAGATAGATAGATAGATAGATAGATAGATAGATAGATAGATAGATAGATAGATAGATAGATAGATAGATAGATAGATAGATAGATAGATAGATAGATAGATAGATAGATAGATAGATAGATAGATAGATAGATAGATAGATAGATAGATTGATAGATAGATAGGAAGTTAGATAGTTAGACAGATATATACGTGGTTACACACTTGGCTAGATATATGGATAGATACTTGGATGAATACGTGTATAGTTACTTTGATAGACAATATCTGTAACATCCATGTTATTGGGGCACCATTCTCTCATCAATATTACTTGCACATCAAATTCCAACTAAATGCGTTCACACTAAGAGAATTTTTTGCAAATGTGTGACTTAGAAATTGATCCATAAATTCACTGATGTCTAGTGTACAGAGTTTTATGGATTCTACAGAAATTGCATTCTCACATTTAGTAAACTAAAACCATCAAATATAAGCTGAACATGTCTCAACTCTAAACAGCTATGCATCATATTAACAGCATAGAAAAATATTTAAAATATTCTAAGATACGCAGACCTGTTGCGTTTTTGAGGATAACAATGTCATATAATACAACCTAGACACTCAGTCGTGATACTGCATCTGTACTGCCTCATGTAAATGGAAATTCCAGGAGAAATTCACCTCTACTATTGAAGATTAAAAATATCGCAGCATTAAGTCGACAGCGTCAATGGAAATGGTGTAACACAATAGACTGATAATAATATGGCTAACTCAGCAGCTCTCATAATGAATACAATCCATGTGTAAAATGATAATGTACACTGAATTGGTGCACTAAGTGAAACAGTGAGGATAATTAAACAAGTAATTGCCTTTTTCACTGCACTTGCAGCAATCATGAGAACCACCTACATTTGTTGACCTAGCAGTCATCTAATCAGACATTGGTACAATACTGATAAAGTTGAGATATTTATTATACATTGAATCCACATAATCCATATTAAACTGTACCATTCAGTGCAAATGTGGATTAAATTCACTAAGAGATAACCTTCCAACTTACTATGATTCCTGTCCAAACACAGATAAGGTGAAAGACAGGTATATATGATAACCTAATTAGGTTCCCACAGAAGGTTCTGTTAACATTTTTAGGTGATTTCCATGTACTGATTGCATTCTTTTGTCAAATAGTACTGTTCTTCACACGAAAATATGATGAATTAATATCCTGAGACGTGAAGTTGTTAAATAATACTATGCTGGAAGGTGATGCTTTTACATGAAGTAAACTATTTGTGCAAATGACATTTACCTCTAGTTATCCCATCTTGCCCATTATAGCGATATTTTGACACAGTCCGCCTGAAACACTAATCATCACAACCAAAATGCTAAGAGCGTGTCGCAGTCCGATCACATGACGCGGACACCAACGTGACTTGTCAGAAAATGAGAATTTCTATCAATCCAGAAAGCATTTAACACGATTTTATTAAAACTTGTTGACAAAACATTTTTCCAAGTGAAATTTCAACCAACGTGATATATAAGTCCAGCCATCAAGATATATAGAGATATATTCACTCCGCATTAACAAAAACAACCCAAGTATGTGTTGGATGGATTACAAAAAAATAAAGCTTGAAGTCATTTCCCTCATATAACAATGAAATGCATCTTATAATAATATATTCTCACTTTATGCACGTTAGGGACTCCAGTTAACTGGCATCATCAATATGATAACAATGTATACATGGAGTAGGCATGTTTACAGTTTTTCACTGACAAAGATTATATGTATTTATATACAAGGGAAGGTAATGGAATAATAACAGTAAAGTAAGTTAAAACAATTTACATGATATAATTCTAAGCACCATTTTTGTTTGAATTTGTCGAAAATGCGCGTACCAACTGAGTGTTCAGTTACATGTGGTCGATATGGTGGACTACTCACAAAAGCATAAAATTGGCTAATAAAACGTTAGTATACCGTAAACGATGTTTTAAGTGATATCATCTGCAAAAGGCTCATCACAAATTTGTATCCAGTTAAACATGCAGAGAAGTGTTAATGATTGGGCAACCCAATCCGACAAATGTGCGGAAAATCATGTCTAAAAAGGGGACAAATCTTGGACATCCAATTGAGTTAAAAAAGGGACAGAACTCGGAAATGCTAAGATTTGTCCCCTTTTTCGGCACATTGTCCCCTTTTTTCTAAATCATGATGTCCCCTTAATCAGCAGAATGTCCCCCTTCTGTCCCAATATAGTCCCCTTAATCAGCAGAATGTCCCCCTTCTGTCCCCTTAATTTCCCCCCTTTTCATCGCTTCTTTTTATCCTAAAACGCAGTATTTCTCCTTATTACTCGCACCATTTTTCCCTAATTCTTTTAACGTCAAACAACTCACAATTCAAAGAAAGGTTCGTTATGGAACTAAATACATTTAATTTGACTATTGGTTAAAGGAAAAAAAGGTAACAAAAATTCGGCAAATTAATTCTTAAAGATTAATGAACATTAACAGTTACAAATGATACACACAATTAATAATAATAATAATATATTCTCAATTTTTACATGACGGACGCCAGTTTACAGGCTTCATCAATGGAGCAATTCAAGAAATACAGAAATATTATCTTCGCATTAAAAAAACCCAAGTATGTATTGGATGGATTACAAATACTTGGGAAAAAATAAAGCTTGAAGTCATATGAAGTCTAAATGCAGCTTGGTATCTGCTCGCCGTCATCCAGTAGGTCCATTGACATATTCTGAAAATGAAAAAAATTTAGTTAGCAAGGTAGTAATCAAAGGTGACACTTATCAAGACATTTGACATAATCATATACTAAACGTGTTTATTGAGGTTTAAAAATTAACTTCATTATTAAGTACAAATAAATTATTTGTTCACATACAAACTCTCTATAACTGCTCGGTTTGCTAGGACCACCGTATATACCTATCAAGAATACACTACTTAAGAAAGGTGCCGTAATTCTACCTAACAGGGGCCATAGCTGCTGGTTAGAAGACTTGGAGATGGACAATCCGTCGACCTTCAACTGCAGCTCAATCTTCTTGTAGTGACTTTCAACCATGTAGTGCTGCAAGCATTTTTGAAGACCGATGTGGCAATACATTCCGTCTCCAAGTAGTCTAGACTCGCAAGAGCCACACATCCTGAGGACACTTCGAACAGTTGTCGTTAATTGAGGCAATTTCGCACGGAATACCTCCAAGATTCTGTTAGTGGCTGCTTGTGATATGTTCGCGGTCACCATGATATTGAGTAGCATGCTTGTCATTTCATCACGTTCAGAAGAGACTTGTGGGCACATTTGTGAAGCACTAGCAGCTGATATTAGGCTGCTGCAAGGTGGCGATGGCGCTACCTCGGTTTCAATGGTCATGGTATCAGTGTTCACTGAAGACGACTCGACTTCAACAGGAGGGACAGCATGTGTGACAGCCTCCGTTGACATCGACGCTAGTAACTGCGCATAGTTACGTTTATACCTTCTGTAAAATGTGGTGTAATGGCAGGTCAATCTAGGTTACGTTGACGTAATCCTTTTAGGCTTAATACAGGGTATTTAGTGTTAGACTAGGAGAAAAATTAGATATGAACCACAGCGACCACTTACCTGCATCGTGAACAGTTTAAAAGTGCGCGCACACTGTGTGACTGTAAACCAGATAAAGAAAAAAACGGTTGCGCTGCAATTAACATTGACCACAGATGTTTTCATAAGCTCCACTGATTGGCCAGTAAGCATCAACCAACATATAAAACCATCTTCGTTACACGATATCCTGTGACTCATACGAGTCACATGAGTGACATTATCCGCAAATACCTTGACCAATGACATTAGCACAGTCAAAGTGACAATAAGAAGTCACAGGTATATTTTTCAGTGTGACTGCAATGTAATGCTATTGGTCACTATTCTTAAATTATCTACGTTTATATACAAACATACACATGTGTGTATGCGTGTGTGTCTGCCTGGATTAGTGTATGAC